TTTTTTGGTTTTTTTTGTTGTTTTTTTTTTTGTCTTTTTGTTTGTTTGTTTGTTTGGTTGGTTGGTTGTTTTACTTCATTCAACCCACTTGCTCCAGGAAGGACCCTGGAGACCTAAACACTGAATCTAGGATTCAGTATCTACAGCTCTGGACAGGGGGGCCAAGAGTCAGGTTGGACATGGAGTAGGGTTACTGACCTTGAGGAAAGAAGTCTGGGTGGGGTTCAGTTATGAATTATATTCCACCTGGAGTAAGTAGGAAGCTGAATGAGTGAGGTCACACTCCCTGTGGTCCCTCCCATCCAAGGGACCCTAGGACCCAATCCCTTACCCATTTCCTTCCTCACCCTACTTCCTCAGCCAACTTCTTATGCACCAAAGTTGCTCTCTGTGTCCCAAACAGAGTTTGCCTTCTGGCAAGATAACCCTCTAAGCACCACCCTAAGACTCCAACCCTCCCTCACCCAACCCCAAATTCCCTACTAACCACTGCCTCTTCATGGGATGCTTGGTCTCCGACCACCAGCATCAAAAGGTACTTAGAGGCACTGTGTTGGGGAGGAGGTGGTGAGCCCCTGCACTCCCTCACCCACCTCTTCCCAGAAGAACAGCCAGTAAGTGTTGGGGTCCAAAGAGGAAACAGCCTTCTGAACCCCACTGATCCCACTGAGAGGATTCAAAGGAGAAAGACCTAGAGGGTGATGATTTGCTAAGTGGGATGATATGGGGCGTCTCACAAGAGAACAGGGACATAGGAAAAACGCCCAGAGCTTTGGTCACCATGTGAAGTTGTACTATTCTCTAGGCTCTTCCCAATTTGTTTATACTCTCCCCTCCCCACAAATTCTCCATCTCTCACAGATAGTTTTAGCCATCCAAGAAACTGAATGTATTCAATACATTTTGTTTTGAGGCAGCAAAAGTTATTCTCAGAAACTGAGTTGTCTTTGCCAGCAATTTATTTAGCACAAGTTTAATGTGGGAATTATAATAAATTCAATAGCATACAGGATAATATCTCTTAATAAGCAAAAGGAAGAAATACATACTCCAAACAAATGACAGATTAATCACACTGTTATTCCAGGCAAGGGAGGGTGAAGCATTAAAGTTTAAGTTTAATAAGAGGTATATATTTTTATATGAGTAGGTACTTGGGAGAGTCGTTGTCCAACCTGCAGCTGATTTCCACATTTTTAGGAAACAAAGACACCAAGTGTTGGAAAGCAGCTAATCTATTTTATGGGGCTCCTACATGGGTTTATCATCACTGTCTTCAAGGAGTGACTCTCCAAAATAGGAGCAATTCCCTGTGTCTTGCTCTTTGATTCCAGAAATGAAACTACAGTCCTATTTTTCAAAGACATTGATACTTATATCTGGAAGCCTACACATTTCAATTTATAAGACTAAGTTATCCTCAATTGTTTGTATAACTCTGATATGTCATTTAGTTTGACAACTTCCTTATCTTTGGCCAGGAGGAAAAGTTTTCCTTACCCTTCTAAGTAGCTTCTAGCTGGTCTAATAAGCAAATTGATATGAGACAGATTAACAGGAGAAAAACAAAATTTAATAATATGTATACCTCCTGTATAATTTGTCAGTGTAAGAGTGTCCAAACCTGTAGAGAATTTTTATAAAATTTGAGTTTATTTGAGCCAAACTGATGACATGCTAGGAAGTTTAGATTTCAGATGCTCCAGAGAATAACAATTTTGCAGTTTCTTTTATACAGGGTGGGGCAAAAGCAGGCTTTCAGTTGTAATTTCTTCTTGTATTATTATTTTTTAGTTAGTGTACTATTTTCCATGCAAGCATGGACATCTACTTTTGCCCCATCTTGTATATTTGGAATTAAGGGGGAGGGGGTGGGGAAGAAGGGAAGATTAAATAAAGTTGGGAGAAAGGAAGCCAGGGAAATCACTGTGATTGGATTATAGGATAGTTACCAAGGTTGTGGGCTCTCCTGAAGTGGTGACACCTCTGAGAGGTCTAAAAAAGGCCTTCAAAGGTGTGAAACCTAGATGTACAAAAACAATGGACAGGCCTTGCTTAAGGTGAAGATAAACCTGTTATAGGCCTGAGAATGGCTACCCACCATGACCTGCCCAGTTAGGAATTAATGATCAGATCACCCTGAGAGTTATTTTCAGTTAGAATTATTACAGTGCCCCTTTTTCATCCACACTTGGGAGAGACCAGTAACTACCAAAACTGACTAATTTACCAATATGGCAGAAGTCATCATCTTAAAAGCCACCTCCAATTGAAGACAAAAGATGTTGGGAGTGGGAAGTCAGCTACAGGAGAGTACCAGAAACAGCACAGTGAACAAAGTTAAGGTTGTCATGCAAATTTCAGTTCATGCCTTCTCAGCTGATAACAGTTTCTAGAAATTTAGATATTCTATTCTTCCTGGTATAGCCAGGGAGACCCCTTATAAACAGAGGTTTCCATTATGAATGTAAATGCCCTTTACAGAGGGTAACTTCTATTTGGTTTCCAGACTTTTTCCTATGTCTGCTGTTTCTTAAAAATTAACCAGCTTAAAATAATACTTATGCCAAAAAGAGATATTTTGGGGTGGTAAATTCTGCTTCCCTACATCTTCATAAAGTGGGACATTTTATTAATGCAAAAGAGTTATTAAGAATTTTAGTGCAAAAACTTTATTTATGTTACATCTTTACAGTACCATGAGTAGAAGACAGGCAGCAGTCTACATTTATGACTAAAAGATGGTACAATTACTAGTAACATCTTGAGTATAACCATGGGTTTGTTGAATTTATGTCCCTGGTGTCATGAAATGTGAGCTTTGACCTCATTATCTTAGCTTCTAGCTACACTCAAACACAATGCCTATACAAAAGCATGGCTCAATAATGATTTCTTGTTTGATAGATGCAACTTAAAATAATAGTGAATTTGAATTAGCAATACCTAGCAATATTGTCTGTGCACACACTTAGCACACCTATTTGGAGGTCTTCTGCAGTTATTGATTCTGAAAACTTCCTGTAGGTATTGCTTATTCCTTTCTTTTCACTCATCTCTTGAAAGTTTCAACTTGGAATTTTGAACAACAACCTGGATAATCAATCTGCAGAATGATATTCTGATATGCATGACTTAGATGGAAGAAAAATATTTCAGAGAAAGAAAGCTGTCTCTAGTTGTAAGAATAATTTGGGTTAGGAATTATAGAGAATTTAGTTTTAGCACCATTAATATGTGGAACAAAATACTACAATCCTCCTTTCATACTTTGTAGTACATTGCTAATCACACCAACAGCTGTGATTAATACATATTTTGGTTGCATCTTAAGAATTCTTATTCATGCGCCTGCATTAATCTTTAAATACAGATGATCTGTGAACAATAGTGGGGATAGTTAAGGACATCAACCCCCTTTGAAGAATCTGCATATAACATTTGATTCCCTAAACTAGAACTACAGTCCATCGGTATCTGTGCTTTTACTCTAAATGTGGTGTACAGGGAGATATTAGAATAAGTTTAATCAATTTATCAATGTTGTTTTATATCATGTCTTTGTTGTTGTTATATCTTGTTGTTTATTTATTAATCAATTTATCAATCGTTGTTTTTATCAATGTTGTTTTTCTATCTTGTCTTTGTTATTTTTATATCATGTCTTTGGTGTTTATATATTATGTTGTTATTGTTGATTTATTAATGAATTTATATATTATTTTCATATACATTTTACTAATTTTCTTTCATCTCTGACACTTCTGTTATAGAGAAAGGATGAATAGCGATATTAAAATATTTTGTATCTCAATTTTATAATACTATATCATATATACTATTTTGACATGTAATTTTTTGCAGTAATGTAATTACCACACACATCTTTCTTCTAATAAATTTCCTTCCAATGTGCAGGAATCCATTCACCAGGCCACTAGTTCTTAATATTTCTATGAAATAGAAATGAAAAAAGTGTCCAATCTGAAACATAAGTGAAAGATTTGTTTAAGAGTGCTGAGTTAATTTCTTCCAGTCATTTCAATAGTATGGACTACTTGTATACATCTTCAACCAGTAAATCCTTTCAATGCCAGAAGTAGAGAAGAGTAAACCAATAAATTAATTTTAATGCTTCACGTTATCCTTGTGAAAATCTTTAGAAAGTTTCTGTGACACATTTATGATAGAGCTCAAATTATATTGTTAACATAGTACTAACTCATCTATGCCAGTAGATTTTAGCCTGACATGATTTCAATAAATAAAAATATGTATATCCGCATGTCCAGAGGGAACACATCTTATACATTTATACATAG